ACGACATCGGCCGATATGTTCAGCTTTAATGTTATCATCAGCCCGATAAGACAAATTGTCCGATATACAAAGCAAAATTTATTCTCAAAAATTATATAAAAAATTGGATTTAGATTTATCTGTTTCTGGGGACTGAATTTGACATAGTTAAAACCTTTTTTAATTGCATAGGCTACCACAAAAATAAATAACAATAATAAAAAAACATACAAAGCAAGATTAAGATTAAGATGTTTTTATTACTTCCATTGTTGCAGCTATATGTTCTTTTATAATTTCTATACAAAATGTACAAAATGGGACAGAAAATATAAGTCAAGAAAATATTGTCAAGAACAAATTATGGTGGATATGTAAGAGATCAGGTGTTAAATGGTGCATTTTTATGCCCAAGCCCTAATAATATATAATTTACTTTATTATATTTAAAAGAACATAAAAATAAAGCCAAATTCAACTTAAAGTCAAGCAATGAACCCAAATAAATCCATTGAATAAGCCCGTTCAGCATTTCCAATATGTTATTAATTTAGGATATCAAAATATCGAGGATTTTTACAAAACGGTTGCATTCTATGATGAATGCTTTGTGAATGGTGTGTATCAACTATTTGAACATATGAAATCTTAGATCTATCTTAAACTAAGTTGTATAACTGACATTGCAAAACTGATCCCTTTTTGCTTTTGTTTCTTTTACCCGTTCTCTCTGAAACCAAGTGAACAAAACCAGGCTTAAATTCGAACAATTTCCCAACTTTAAAATAAAGGCTTTCACAGGAAGAAACTTCTTAACAATACAGCCTCCTAAGCCAAACTATTCAAAACATGAGCACACACTTCCAGCATAAGAGCAGACCCTTTTGTTAACTTATGTAACTGCTTACCATTGTTTTAGTTTGGGTGCTTTGGAGGTTTCATGTAACAGCAAAAGAAAAGAAAAAGAAAAGACCCGTCCGCCGGAAAAGAAAAGAAAGCCTGTTCATTCGTACTGCATTAGCGTCCACTGCATAACACACTTCAAAATTCACTGTCGATCAGCATTTGCCACTTCTGTAATAAACCTCCCCACTACCCTCTCTCCAACATACTATCCCACCACAACCCAGTTATAACCAACCTACATCACTGGTTCATGTACAACAAGGAAAACCAAGGGAGTTGACTGCGTATGTAAACTTAGCTGGCTTTATTTTGCCATAGGACTCATCTAACCGGGCATTAGAAGAGATGGCAATTTCCCAAATGGCAAAGTAGCCTCTGGGCAACATGGGTGTCTTTGAAATGGTGACATTGAGCTAACATGTGGGTCTGGAAACATCAGGCCTATGCTAAACTGACCTAACCCAAGCCAATGTGCAGAGAGACGGGCATACCACGGTGAGGAATGAGTCGTGGAGCCATTGCGAGCCTTTGCGAATTGGGGGAAACCGCCCGTGTGACCGTGACAGATCACTTCAGATACCAAACAGTCATTTTGTGGCTGGATGTCCAACGAGGGGTTTGAGTAGGAAAGAGTAGAGAGGATGGAGCCCCAGAGGCAGAGCACCATGTCCTGATAGGATGAAGAGGTAGGAACCTGCTGCTCTGGCACGACGGTGGGCCGCGGCTTCATGCTGTCGTTGGTCAGGACACAGCAACTGAGGTCTGATGTTGGCCATGGCATGTCCAGCATGAGCTCAGGAAGGACAGCTGGTGTCTGAATGGACGTGTGCTTAATCGGGTCCAAGTAAGTGTGGCTGGTATTGGGAAGACGGCTGAGCTGGTGGATGACAGCGGAAGAAGCGATGAGACCGGCTACGCTAGTCAAGTACAGGAGACCCAACATACAGGTAATCTGAAGGAAGACAAAGAACACAATAACGGATTAAAGATAGGGCTGCACAGTATAGCTACACGCGATAAAAGGTATCTTTTCCATGTTAATAACCAGACGCGATGGCGACACACGAGGTTTCTAATTTAGAAACAGTTCCTATTTCTGCGACGTCGCGGCTAACAGATCCGCCCACACAGAGATATTACACTGGTTATGAGTACACATTATTTATTTTAGTTAAAAATAACTCACTGTGCCACAAGCGATAACAGATAATTTACCTCAGATTTTGAAAGGATATAATATAGCGTTCAATTTAATTCTATGCAAACATACAATTGTACTTCATAACAAAATTAGTAAATGAGTATATTTAGTCAATGTTCTGCGTCTAGTGTGGACAGACACACTTTCTGTCGCTGGAATTTTATCGCGTCGCGTGTAGTTAGGACACGGTGTAACGTTTGAAATCGAAGAAATTACAGCCATATATATTGGTATTGTAATTTTATTTTTAAGTATAATATATTTCTTCTTAAATACTAATTTTGTTTTACAGTGAAATATTACAGTGGTAATATTTATTTTGTTTAAAAAATTAGTTGTAAAAATTGTGATATTATATATCTTCTTGTTTTATAGTTAAATCAATATATAAATCAAAATGTTTGTCCCAAAACATGCACAGTAAACATTTATTTTATGCGGAAATTAATAATTGTATTTTTTTTCTCCTCAAATTGTGCAACCTCTAGTTAAAGACGATTTCAAATATTTTTTCTTAAGCCATAATATTGCTTTAGTGTGAGGAACAGACCAACATGTAAGCTGCTCAAAATTTGCTCAAAATCTTCTCTCTTGACCCAATGTGAAATATCACTGATGTCAAAACAGCCAAAAGATTTGAGTGCAAATATGGGGAAGATTTTTAGCAAATAGCATAATGCTTTAGGAATAAAGTGCTTATATTATATGTGCTACTTTTTTGGTGTATTTATGAGCCCATACGGGTTTAGCTAGGATTGTTCACCTTGGTAAAGTGCTGGTAGATGGCTGATAGGGCTTCCCTCCAATTGGTTTGCTCCAACAGGACGCAGAGATCCGTGTAGGTGAACCAGCCTCGCTTCATACCTTGCCGCTCCGCAATGCTGCAGGGACAGAGCACATTAAAATACTTGATCTTTTTACATTGGAACAACAAAATTAGCACATGACTCAGAACTTAAATGTACTGCTACTTTAAAGCACTCTGACAAACAGATTAGACTAAAAAGGGCAGCCGCATTAAGCCCAAGGGAGCCACTGCGCAGTTTCAACATGTTCTGTGATCTTTTTAAAAGAACAAAAATGCTGAGGTCAGTAGGGGTGTTCACTCAAAGCGTATAAGGATCATATTAGATGTATGACACAGCAAGTGCGTGTTAACCAACCTGGTTTCCACCTTACTGAGGACTTTAAAGAAGTCACTGGGCTCAGTGAAGAGGTTCCAGTCCTGTAAATGTGAAAGATCTTGTTTCAAATCAATTTCAATAGAAAAATCACAACCAGCAATGAAACTTAGTCTAGTATTAGCCTTAAAAATTCATACGCAAAATAAAAGGACAAAACAAGCCCAACTACTTTAAATGGCTGTAGTTCTTTGGAAGGTCACGCTTACGATCGCATTGAGGAAGTTCATCTCTAGAGTGTTGACAGTATGAACATCCAGTTTGGCCGCAGTACCCCATTCATCGTTGAAAACCTCCTCATCTTCTCCTTCATCATACAAATATTTACTGGCAACCATCTGGAAATTCAGAGAAATATGATTATCACCAACAACAGCATCATTGAAATTGACCAGAATAGCGAACCAAAAAAAAATAAAGCATGGATGTGAATACCATGGATATCAAAAAGAGGTCTGAGGATGAGATCTGTTGCAGGTATTCAGGGTTTCTGTGTCGCAGTCTTTCAATGTATATCAAGGCCAACATCATAGCGCAAGGTGATATACATGCTTCCCTGTAACAAGAAAAAGAGTTTGATATTGATCCAGTAAATATTTAATATATACAACAGTATGTATTGTGACGAGATTACATTTTGAAGTCAAAGAAATAATAAGGCAATCCTACCTGGCCACATGTGCAGCATATTTCTTGTGAAGTTTCCTTATGGGACTTGGGGCAGATTTCTGGAGCAGTTCCACCGCAATATCTAGAAATAAATACAACTATGAGTGAAGTGTATACTCAATCTAGCAATAACCATCATATGTATAGAATATGTATGTTCAAAACTATCAACCCAAACTTGGACAAATCTAGGAATGCAATGTATGATATACAAACTTTGCTTGACCCCAATCAATTTCATGCAAAGACAAAGTACAAATATGAGTAAAATGTTCCCCTGTGTGCAATTTTAGACTTGTAAACTAAATTAATTATTTAATATAAATAAATAACTTGTTAAAGACTCTTAGAATTGTAAATAGGAGAATAAATAAGTCATAATAAATATATACTTAATTATTCAAATAATAATTATCTTACTGTTAATTTAAATCACTTAAATATTTAAACATCACCATGCACATAATTGTAAAAATGTTTAAAAAAATCTACAATTATTTAACTTAAATTAAATTATTAAAGTATTACGTAACTTCAAAGTGTTTCAAGAAATATTCCACGTAAACACAGGAGACAAAACAAGCAGTTAGGGGAGGAAGACAACTTAAATGACATTACATTAGTTGTACAAAAATGCAACAACACAGTAGCACTAGTCATCATTTAATAATAATAATAATAATAATAATAATAATATTAATATATTTTATTTGTAACGCACTTTACATCAATTTAATGACCTCAAAGTGCTACAACATAAAAACAGAAACATTAAAAAAGATCAAATAAATGAAATAAAAACACTGTTAGCCATAACATTTGAAGTGGATCAAAACCTTTCGTGAAAATTATACATGTTCAATTATACATATTATTCATGTCTTAGGACAACTTTGATGACATTTTTTGATCCACTTCAAATGTTGACTACTGTAGTGTGCACTAGTTTTACTAGTTAACAACTCACCTGTCATGGGACAAGATAAAGCATCCAACGGGCTGTCAGAATCAATACCATAATACAGTCGTTTCCTTACTCTCTCTGACCAATGCTCGTGTTTTGGCAGGAACTGATCAGAACAGAACACAAAACATGCTAATGTCAGATAGCTGTCTTCATAGTAATATTAAAAGAGGTATATTATGACTACTTAACACCATTAAAGCAATAACAGAAGTACTGGTATTCGTGTTTCTTGGTTTCTTCACACCTAAACATTGGGCCGATGATGAAGCCTCGAACTATGTTAGCATAATACTGAACGTTACAGCAAAAAGTTACACTTACATACTGCAAAAATGAGACATTTGCTGTATTTACGAGTAACGTTAATCATTTTCTGTCAGTCTAATACTTTAGGCCTTAAATGAAGGAAGACATTATCAAATACAGAAGTTCTTGTATCAGTCAGTCTCGCGTGAGTGTCTCGATCACCCGCCAAAGCTGCGCAACCGGAACAAAAACATCCAAGATACTAACCGTAAACTCTTGAAAGTCGGAAAATTTGAACGTCCGCTCATCAAATAAATCGCCAAAATCCATTTTGGCCCTCCAACGTTCATTTAAAAGGACTGAAAACACAGAAAGGCCGAGGAAAGGCGTCGTGGAGGCGCCCTCTCTCTACAGATAAGTTACGTTGCAACGGATTCAGAATCACAGTTACGCAAGTCAATGCGCTCAGCTGTGTAGAAATAGCATAGAGGAGCGTAAACTGCAGTTAGTGTGAGTTCTGACTGGGGCGGGACTTTTATTGGACGGAAGTTGGGTCAAACCAGAGCCGTTGGCTCTGGGTCAAACATATTTATGGTTTCTAATATGTCAGGTACAGTGAATATTTTTGTGTGAAATTGTATTCAAACGCTGTCGTTCCTGATATCAGTGTTTTCTATCACGACGAAACACCGCTGTTGCTAATGGACCAATCGCAGCCGCCGTTTATGATTCCTCGTTAAAGCGTTTAAAAAAAAATAATAATAATTTCAGATTGCGAATGGAAAATTCATTTATATGTCAAGTAATTTACATTATTAGTAATTTATTTAAAATAAATGTAAAATTTATTCAATTTGCAAATAGATTTGAGTTGAGTGTTTCGTCTTTTTGACCGTAAAGCGCCTACTAGAGGAAAGAAGTATATGTGTGCGTTTGTGTTAACATTACTTTTGCAAGATTTTTTTCTAGATCGGTATGACAGTTTACCTGTCCTGTTATGGCAAAAGCTTCATGAAGTTCTTCTTGCTTTGTCATCCAATCTTCGCCTCACTCAGTCAAGCGTCCAATCATATGGTATTTAATATTCATGATCCATTATAGTTTTCAGCAAATCAAACCGGTGATTGGTGATATTTTTGGTAACAGGCAGAACTGTTATGGTTACATTTCTGTAGGTGCTCTTTTTTAAACTTTTTATTACACATTTCTTTAATTTCATATATTGCGTATAAAAAAACTAATCCCAAGAGATCAATAACCATAATACCAATAACTGTAAACATATGCAAGTCTCTATCTTTATTGTAAAATAAAACACACATTTATTTAGACTTTAGCCAGTCACAAATGAATTACTTTATACAAGGCTATTTTCATTTTTCCATGACTAAAAACACATCACAATAGCTCATTGCAACCATGTCCCCTGAGTTTAGTCAAAATGCTGTAAAGTGAGTGATCTCCTTTGTCCCTTTGATGAACTGAAGTTGTACATTACAATCTATTGCATGTAAGTACCACTCCACACACACACAGCATAAGAAAATATGATCTTTAACCACACAAATGATCATAAAGACAGTAAAAAAAAGTCAGACGAATGTGCATTAAGAAAGTAAGTATGTCAGAAAGGGGTCTTTTCCCCTTTGCTTATAACTTAATCCTACATTCAAATTAATCTTAGCCTGTATAGAAATTCAAATATCAGCATTATTAGAATTTGCTGCCAGTAATAGAATTACCCATTTTCAAATTAAACAATGCCTCAAAGAATATGAGCATATTTACAATAACAAGCAGTTTTCCTCTTACAAAAAACAGCAAATTGGAAGCATCATCGAATCAATGCAACCACAGAAATTCATTTAAATAACAGAAAGTACATTCATCATAATAAGGTGTCAGCAATGTATTGCCTAAAGTTATAGATATGGAGGGATTTATACAGTGTACAACAACTCTGTCAGTCTTCTGTCATTAATGGCCATGATATTTATCATTATAAATGCACTTAGAATAAAATGAGTGATATATATATATATATATATATATATATATATATATAAACTTTGAGGACTTCAATATCTTATAAATAAGACCCTAAGCAAAATGGGGCACTTTTGAGAACTGGCAAAAACATAAATGTATACAATTAAATAATTATAAATCTAATATACCCTGACAGCACGGGGCGAGCTTAAAATGCACAAAAAAACAGGTTTTGTTGCCGTTCCCATCACGTATCTAGTGTCCCTTGGGTCCTGTTCCTGTAGTGGATGTTTGTGGCTGTAGTTTCTCTGATTTCCTGTCTTTAGTCTCGCTGTCAGAGGCGGAGTCTGAATCCTGTACCTGCTGCTGTTTCATCCACATGTCAGAGTACAGCCCTCCCTTCGCCAACAGCTCCTCATGCCTACGACAAGCAATAATACTGGACTTTAAACGGCATAGTTCATGTATTAACGAGTCGGAATGTGTGTTCAGCATAGTAGAGAATAAACTCACCTTCCTCTCTCCACAATCTGCCCATCACGAAGCACAAGAATCATGTCGGCCCCAATGACAGTCGACAATCTACAATAGATGCACATCATAGATCGCGTTATACAATAAGAAGTCCTGTAATGTATAAAAGACCTTAAAGGAGTAGTTCACTTTTAAAAAAACTTTTGCTGATAATTTATTCACCCCCATGTCATCCAAGATGTCCATGTCTTTCTTTCTTCAGTCGAAAAGAAATTAATTTTTTTGATGAAAATATTCCAGCATTTTTCTCCATATAATGGACTTCAATGGGAACCAAACGGTTCAAGGTCTAAATGAGAATTTCAGTGCAAACTGCAAACTGTTGAAAGGCCTTTAAATGATTCCAGACGATTAATACGCGTCTTATCAAGCAAAACGATCGAACGAAAAAAAAAAATAACAAAGTTTAAGTTTTATAAGCTCAAATGCTCGCCTTGCTTTATTCTGTGTGACTCTCCGGTTCTAACTCGTATATCAAAATGAACGAATCTTCAACGAGTCAATTCGTTCACTTCGTTCGTTGAATTAACCAAATGACTCGAAAAAAGATTCATTCATTTTGATGAACGAGTTCGAACAGGAGAGTCACAAACGCGCATCACAAAACAGAGCAAGGCGAACATTTGAGCTTATAAAACTTAAACTTTGTTATTTATTTATTTATTAAATGACCGATCGTTTCACTTGATAAGACTCTTATTCATCGTCTGGAATCGTTTAAAGCCCTTTGAACAGTTTGCAGTTTGCACTGAAAGTGTCTTTTGGACCTTGAACCGTTTGGTTCCCATTGAAGTCCATTATATGGAGAAAAATCCTGGAATGTTTCCATCAAAAACCTTAATTTCTTTTCAACTGAAAAAATAATGACATGGACATCTTGGATGACATGGGGGTGAGTATATTATCAGCAAAAGTTTTAAAAAGTGAACTACACCTTTAATAACATGTTTTATGAATTATGCATTAACTGTGATAATTGATGGGAGTAGTCGATATGTGTAAAAACTCTTTTAACCTCTTGAAAGGCAATGATGATCATGAGCGGCCCATGATTATTGTTGTTCAACATTCACTTCACACTCTCATAATTCTTTTAATCATGTGTTTACCTGTGTGCCACCACAATGGAGGTTCTGTTGGTGCAGACTTTAGCCAGTGATGCCTGGATATTTCGCTCAGTCTGTGTGTCTAGAGCAGACGTGGCCTATTGGTAGAGGATGAGAAAATTAGTCCATGTTAAAAATGAAAAGTACTTGAAAACTGGTCCTAACCAAAAAATTATTCTTACTAACCCCAAACTTTTGAACCTAAACTTGCTAAAACAAGTAAAAAAAATCTTCCAACAAGAAATAATAAAAACATGCAAAACTGGGATAATTCCCTCACCCTAAAACGACCGTATATGTATTCTCCCATAATGCACTGGTGACGTACCTCATCGAGGAGGATGATCTGAGGCGCTTTGAGGATGGTGCGAGCGATGGCGACTCTCTGCTTCTCTCCTCCGCTCAACTTCAGACCCCTCTCACCCACCTGAGTGTCATAGCCTACAAATATAAATCAATTATGATTATCAACTTTGAACATCATACCGGAGCACATCATATAAAGGTCTGCATTTCAGGTCCCCTACTTATATTCACTGCCTACAGTCTAATTCTACTTTTTCAATGCCAAAAATGGTCTCACCGTCTGGGAAAGTGATGATTTTGTCATGGATGTCAGCGGCAATGGCAGCCTCCTCCACCTCCTGGTCAGTAGCAGCAACTCGACCGTAACGGATGTTGTCCCGGATATTGTCATTAAACAGGACGGTGTCCTGAGGGACAACGCCAATGTGAGCGCGCAGAGAGGACTGCTTCACCTGAGACGCAACCAGACGCATGAATTAACACAGCGCACAAGAGCTTCCCAGAAAAAAATGTGATGGACCATGTAGGGACAGGTTTGGGTGCCTTTTATATATTACAAGGTTCACCTTTGAGATGTCTTGACCGTCTATTTTTATACACCCGCCCTGAACGTCATAAAAACGGAAAAGCAGACGGATGATGGTGCTCTTTCCTGATCCAGACTGTCCGACCTGAAAAACATATACGCAAAAGTTTGGGGTCAGTACAAATATGTATCTTTTTTTTAAAAGAAATACTTCAGCAAGGATGCTTAAAGTAGATCAAACATGACGGCAACAACATTTATATTGTTACAAAGGATTTATATTTCAAATCAATGTTGTTGGGATTCAAAGAATAGAAAAAAACAAATCAATTTGCACAAAAAATATGCAACTATATGTAATACTATATATACTATGTAATACTATATATATAACTATATATAATATGCAAATATGCAACAAACAGCAACTTTTCAAGGATGTATAAAACAGCTCAGACTTACAAGTGCGACCGTCTGTCCGGGAAGAACAGAGAAAGAGACGTCTTTGAGAATTTCCTTGCTGCAAAAACATCCGCATCGTATAAAATGAAAGTTACATATTATTGAGAGAATACTGGTCATATGTCAAATATATTGAATAATAATAATAATAAAGCCATTTAACTGAAGCTGCTTACCCTTGCATGTAGCTGAAGAAGACATTCTCAAAATCTACTTTCCCCTGTCGGTAGCAGAGGCTTCCTGCATTGACATCATCCTTCACCTAAACAAAAACCCAAATAACAAAGTCATTCATTATTCAAAAGCTTCAAAAGCTTCTTTTCTCCTCCACTCACTTCCTCATCCTCATTGAAGAGCTTGAACATGCTTTCCATGTCGATGAAGGAGTTCTGGATCATTCTGTTCAAGGAAAAATACATGCTTACTGTGACCTTTGTTCTTTTGAAAACGCATATAAATAGTGATCTATAAATGGGCGATAAACTATTATCCAAGACAAAAAAAAGCTGCATACCTGTAGTATGTGCCGAACCAGTTGAGCGGAGTGTAGAGCTGGATGATGTATGTTCCGAACAACACATAATCTCCCACCTGGAAAACCACCGCGAGTTACAACCAGTTCATGTCACATGACCATAAAAAAATATTAACAATTACAATATTGAAATAATATTTAATAAAATTAAATTTGTTATTTTTTTTTATTAAAGGTTTTTCTTATTTTATTTTAAAATGTATTAAAAGACATTAAAATAATATTTTATTTAATATAATACTGCACTTCATAACACTTTTTTTGCCACTGATTGAGATCACAATCTCAAACATTAATCAAAATCTCTGTTTTGGAAACTGCAATAAAGTAATTTAGTGCATTAGCCAAACTATAGGCTGTTGATTATCGCGAAAAACTCGGCATTAAAACCGAATTCAATTGATGTATTGAACTAATTTATTAATGTACATTAGCAATCAAAAATTTAGGGTCTTATGCTCAAAAAGACTGCATTTAGTACAGCAAATACTGTAACACTGTGTTTTGTTAATTAATATAAATAATATAGATTAATGTAGTTTATTCCTGTGATGGAAAACTTCAGTGTCACATGATCCTTCAGAAATCATTTTAATATGATGATTTGCTACTCAAAAATAATTGATCTTTATTTAATATCAATGTTGAAACCAGTTGTTTAATTCTTTTTTACACATATATACTGTGTATATATATATATAAAGAGTTCAGATGCAAAAGCCTCTAAGTGCCATTTGAAATTTTCTTCTAGAATGATCGTTTTTATCAAGCTTGTATATTTAAGTTCAGTAATTTCACTTAAATGGCAATGATAATTGTTATTTAAGTGAAATTACTGAACTTAAATATACAAGTTTGATAAAAATCATCATTAAAGAAGAAAATTTCAAATGGCATTTAGAGGCTTTTGCATCTGAACTCTTCATATATATATATATATATATATATATATATATACACTTCACAATGATTTTTGGTCAATTTAATGCATCCTTGCTGAATAAAAGTACTACATTTTTTTTTATAAATTTATATTCCTTTTTAATTCGTTTTAAATCTTTTTTTTCCTGCTAAACAACTTCAGAAGTTTCTGGCAATGTAATGATATGATGAGTCGTCCTGAACGCTCGTACCTGAAACTTTCCCTCTGTCACAAAGTACGCACAGAGCAAAGATCCGGTCAGGAGACCCAAACCGATGATGAGATTTTGCGTTTGGTTTAAAAACGCCAGAGACGCGTTGGTCTTCCATTCCGATACCTGAGCAAAAATTAAATATAATCATAAAAGTGGTATTTATGATTTATTCCTGTGAGCTAATAATCAATGAACTAAAATACACGTTATAAGAAATCTGGACTGGAGAGCAGTCTTAAAACAATCTTAAAAAAAGACTACCTGATATTTCAAGATGGCATCCTCAAAGCGACTCGCTTCATAACGCTCTGCATTGTAATATTTCACCTGTTGACAATATCATAATTCAATCACACTCATTATATTGCACAGCAAAATTTTTGTTTTGTTTTTTACAACACATATTCTGATATTCTTCAAACAAAAAAAACATACCGTCTCAAAGTTCAATAAAGAGTCCACAGCTTTCGATTTGGCATTGTTATCTTGTGTGTTCATATCTCGTCTGTATTTAGTTCTCCATTCAGTGATAACGATGGTGAGAGCTGAACGAGACAAAGATAAAAGAGCAGTCAATCAATCAAATGCTGATCTGGTATATTTCTATTCTTCTGTCTTTAGTGACTCCTGGGATCAGGAGAATCAAAACTGCACTCCTGCAGATTGCCGTATGGTGTTAAAGGGATAGTTCACTTTTTTAAAACAATTTTTGTTATGTTTTAGCTAACCACAATGGCATCCAAGATGTAGGCGTCTTTGTTTCTACAGTATTTTCAATTTTGATATTTTTAGATCAAACCGTTCTTGTCTGTCAGTCATATAATGCATTAAAGCTGTTTTATTATGTGCTTCATAAATTAATTTGGCACTTATTCAGCACCCAATTATACTTTTAACACTCAAAGGGGCAGCTATAGTATTTACTTTTTATTTAAAGACTAAAAACATAATATTACAATATATTGCTCAAGTGTCACTCAATGCAATAAATAAATCTTTTTTTCATTAATGCAATTGTACTATTAATACTCAAACCAGACCAGACAAGGAGCAACTATGGTATTTTAGGTAAAATTACAAATTTCTAAATGCAAATCATTTGAAATGGGGGCAACAATAACGGAGGACAAGTGTGTGTGTGTGTGTTCATGTATTTAGATACTCACTGAGGTAGAGGGCCATGCAAACGAAGACTATGAGGCCAAACCAGGCATTGAAATTGGATATAAAATAGATAATGGCAATGACAATGTCAGCTATGGTGGGGAAGATGCTGAACACGATGTAGCTGTTGGAATAAACCAAATAAAAAAAATATTTCAAGAAAATAGAGACTGAGATCACTTCTACTGTAAAAGCACACTATGTCTATCTGCATCCAAGACTAATATCGCAAAGTTAACCTTGTTTATACTTGCATCCAAATGCAAACACCTGGAGATAAGAAGGTTTGTGGCATCAGGACACAATTTCATCAATGATATTTTAGCTGTACCTCAGCAGGCTGTTGATGGAGGAGGTTCCTCTGTCGATGCTTCTCAGGACGTCTCCGGTGCGGCGGCCCAGGTGCCAGCGCAGGGACAGAGAGTGCAGGTGAGCGAAGAGACGCACCTGCACCACACGGTTAGTGTACTGCTGCACTCGAATCCACAGGAACGAACGCATGTTACTCACAAACCCAGACGCACCTGCAGACGGAAACAGACTGTTTCAAACTGATATTCCCCGTCACGCTACAGAGAAATCATTAAATTGGGTGATGTTCCCTCACCAGCGCCACCACCCTGCAGGAACTTCAGAAGCCCGTAAACACACACTGTAGTGGCCAGAGTCTTCCAAGAGCTCCCATCTGTCAGCTGGTTCACTGTAAAGGAGATTTATAATATATATTATATTTATATTTTATATATATATAATATATATATATTAGGGCTGTGCAAAAGTTATTTGCGATTAATCGCATCCAAAATAAAAGTCTGTGTTTACATAATATATTTGTGTGTGCTGTATATAATTATTTTGTATATATAAATACCTATGCATGCATGTATATATTTAAGAATTATTTGCGGTTAAATTCTGTATATATTTATAAATACATAATCTATATTATATAAATATAAATATTTTATATATGAATAACATATTTTCTTAAATATATACATGCATGTGTATGTATTTATATATACAAAATAATCATATACAGCACACACAAATATATTATGTAAACAGAGACTTTTATTTTGGATGCGATTAATCGTAATTAACTTTTGCACAGCCCTAATATATATATATATATATATATATATATAATATAATATATATATTATATTTATACTTTCTGGAGTATTTCATTCCAGAAAGACTAAGAAAAGGCTACTGACATAAATAATTGAATCATGACTGAATAAGACTCTTATTCTGCACCTATGTTCTTGTAGTAGATGGGCACAAACACATTGATGACGCGTTCCACGGCCAGCAGCCCGAGACACAGCAGAACCAGCAGCTGAAGCACGACACTGCCTTTAGGCCACATGTACGGCACCAACAGACGCATTTTCTGCCCAAAGTCTTTCCACGTAGACTGATTCTCCTCAGAATTACCCAAGAGAGGCTGAAAAGAGGCATTAATGAGATCAATGATTATGACAGTAAGATTGAGTGCAGATTTGACAACAGCAGAGTGCATCTTATGTCTCACCGCTCCGTGCTCAACATCTCGCTCGTCTTCATTGACCAGGAGCATGTACGGTCGGCGAGGCAAGCCTGGGGCTTTGAGGCCTAACAGGAACAGCAAACCTGAGCTGAAGTATCGCACCAGCCAGAAAGAAAACTCCAACTGCAGTTACAATGAACAATGTGCGCAAAGCGATTATTATTTGCTATTGTTTGTATCTGCTACACATCTTACACATCTCTGATATTGTGTAAAGAGTAAAGACCATCAGAAAATGTCTCACATTTTGAGATTTTTGGTCGTTAGCATGTAAACAAATTACTTTAGATTTTATGGTTTCTTAGGCTTAAATTTTTTTTTATTATATATATATATATATATATATATATATATATATATGCGTGTAATTTATTTATATATATATATATATATATATATGTAATTTATATATATATATATATATATATATATATTTATATAAATAAATAGATTTGACTGCTATTTATCCAGTGTCTTACTGAATTTGTCTTTTCTAATGAATAAGTTACAAATAAGAACAACTGTATCATTAGAATGGGGTCCCATATTTAAAGCAAAGCATATACAAAAAACATACAATAATTTAAATATAAAATATGTATGATGTATTAATGGTTTAATATATATATATATATATATATATATATATATTATGTTACATTAAATTTAATAAAATTGTTATTAATTAATTTGCTCCTTTTACAGTATATATATGAAGAGTTCAGATGAAAAAGCCTCTAAGTGCCATTTGAAATTTTCTTCTAGAATGATCATTTTTATCAAGCTTGTATATTTAAGTTTAGTGATTTCACTTAAATGGCAATGATAATTACCTATTAATTGTAATTTAAGTGAAATTACTGAACTGAAATATAGAAGTTTGATAAAAATCATCATTAAAGAAGAAAATTTCAAATGGCATTTAGAGGCTTTTGCATCTGAACTCTTCATATATATATATAAAATATTACATTAAATTAATTTAATAAAATTGTTATTAATTAATTTGCTCCTTTTACAGTATATATAAATATATATATATATATATATATATATATATATATATTTCTCCTAACTTTTTTTAACGAGACAATTTTGAATTTTGTAAATGCTCTTTTAGTTAAATCTGGCAAAAGTGTTGGCCATTTTTATAAAAAAAATTTTTTAGAAATATGCAATTTTGCATTCAATATTCAAAGTTTAGAGCAAGACTAGGGTGAGCAGAGTAAAACTGCTACCTCATGGAGTGTCACAAACACTGTTATCTGATTGGTCGAACCTAAACGGTTGGGGTGTGGCCAAGGAGGCCAAAAAGGAGTGCAGCCAGAACTGACCATGACTCAACAATATTGTCACTGCCTACTAGTTAAAAACACAAAATGACTTTAATGACCATCCAAACTTGACAGAATTGCTGAGTCATTCATAGTTTGTTCCTCAATATGTATTGTAATCCTTTCACAAAGTTACCATAATGCTGAGTCATGGTGTGTGAGCAGCATTCCTACATCTGCCACCCCTTTCAAATACAAACACTTTAGTCAGAACAATGGCATCAGTGCCAAAGGTAATGCTATAGACATACATGATAATGCACTATGAAACACTAATACACTAATAACACTAATAACAACACTAATAACAATCTGGTGCATAATTTGATGCAACTCGTGTGTTTATGAGAAGTTTGCCATTACCTTCACCTAGTGGTAGATAAACAGATTTTTTTAAATCCCATTTGTTTACATTACTGCAAAAATTTTGCATACGCAAATCATTTATTATTAGACAACAGTTTATCAACGCATCGATTGTTAAACACACACGTACCTGTTGATCGGCCGTCTCCAGAGTCCACCACCACTGAGGGCTCATCCACGACACAAACGCCAGGTTTTCAGCCGCAAAAGCCATGGCCCAGTACAGCAACAGTACCGAACTGTGTCCTCTGGTTCTGTCCCGCACCAGAACCCTCCTTCTCTCCAGGCGAAGCAGAGCCACGGCCCAAAGCCAGCCCATCATGGAGAGACAGCCGTACAGGACCACGTATCCCGGCAGCTCTCCGCTGCGAGCGATCCGAAACACCATCCAGCCCAGAGCCTGCAGGACGAGCAGCACCGACAGGCCCACTTGGAGCCGGTAGAGTCGCGAGCGAGGGATGAACTTGGGCTCCATGTCTGTGCCGTAGCGGCTGTACCAAACACACAGAAACGTGCCGAAGAGGAAGAAGAGGGTGAGGAGGACGGACGGCACCAGGGTGAAGTAGAAGCAGAGAGTCAGACCGCCATCCACCCACACCTGCTGCATGGAGACTCCAGCTTCACAGAAACTCTTCATCCCCACCATGATGATGATGATGATGATAGATCCACACAAAGAATATCTGGAAAAAACATATGGTGAGGAACCAAATAAACTTGTGTTTCCCACAACAAAAACATACTGTGGCAGGACCACAAAAACAGGGGCGGTATCATATATACAACACATAGTATACATATAATATCAAACGATAAATCGCGATTAATCGCATCCAAAATAAAAAATAAAAGTTTGTGTTTACATGATATATGTGGGGGCACTGTGTATAATTATTTTATATATATATAAATACACACACATGCTTGTATATATTTAAGAAATATTTTCATGTATATACTGCATATTTATTTATATATAATTTATATTATATATAAATATAAATATTTTATATATAAATATTTTTTTGCTCAAATATACATGCATGTGTGTGTTTATTTATATATATATATATATATATATATATATACAAAATAATTATACACAGTGCACCCACATATATTATGTAAACATAAACTTTTATTTTGGATGTGATTAATCGCGATTAATCGTTTGACAGCCCTAATATATATATATATATATATATATATATATATATATATATATATATATAAACCTATGTACAAATATACCTAAAACTTTAAATAAAAACAACAAAAAAGAAAATCCTAAAACTTTATAAAACTAATAGTATATTCTCAACACAATAGAACGATTAAACATAGTCATATTCCATTGTATTTATATGGTAAGTTACGCCAAGGTACTTTTAAATAATACCAAAGTATTACCATACATGTACAAAAACATCAACGATAATAAAACTTGATTAACATTATAATTTTACTAATAATACATTTTTTATAATAATTATAATTTACACAATAAATCATAATACGTAAAGCTAAGTTTATTGTAGAGGATGTTCATGAGCCAGTCATTATAATAATACCTTAGACTATAACGCAATGTCATTGTTTTATTACGCTTATTTGAATGTGTTGTTGTGACAAACTTACTTTACTACCATAATAAAACATGCATGCATTATAGATGCTACTATACCATGTACAAAGAATATGACAGTTCCACTTCTTTGTAAGTGTTATTTACAACCACATAAACCAAAGTACCATAGTGTTACCGTGTGAAACCACGTCCACGGGAACTTGTGTAAGGCCAGTGAGATATGAACTAACCTGTTTCCAATGTCAGTGGGATCCTTCTAGTCTTTGGCGTGCGTCCTTGAATGATTATCCACTCAGATGGATTATGATGATGTTAGCGCTCCTAAAACATGTCATTGTATGTGGTTGCTGTATATGACCTTACACTACAGTCAGAAACTCACGCAGTTCAAAACCACCATCCATTATATTACACAATCATAACACCGGGGCAACCAAACGCCTCGTGGTCCTAGCGCCCGTCTTTACGCAGTCACGTGGTAAGTGTAACTTTTCTCAGCGCAAGTAAAAATGGTCCAATCAAAGTTTATTGTGATCACTCGTTGGTTTACATAATGCAGTTTATTGTAAATTAATAATATGTGGGATTTATCCATTTAAAACACCATGTTCTTTCTTATGTCTACAATAAGGCATCCTAAGATTTGCGTCTTTGCGATTTTTTTTTTGTTTTATTGGGGGGGGGGGGGGGTTCAACGGTTCTGATAATTTTTTTTATTTTTTTACTTTTGCATAATAATAAAAATAATAATAAAACAGTTTTAACTTTAATTTATTCTATATTTCAATCAATAATTTTGAAGACCCCTTGTGGTGAAAATCAAGTTTTTAATGTTGTTTAAGTCTATGGTGTGTTTTTAATATGGTTTAAGATGACAAACCATGACAAAATTCATAAATCAACACAATTGCTGAGTATTTTCTTCTTAAAAATGAAAAAAAAAATGTTTGAAATCGTCGGTTTCTTACTACCATTTAACCAATCACATCAACGTGCTGCCGGTCTTTAGCATATCATGATACTACCAATGACATCACTCTGCTGCCATTTATCCTAGTATATTTTTCTGTTGTTATGAAAAATCTGGTATTTAGCAATATAGCGGGCAAATTATGTATGTATATTACGATGTTTTGATGAACTATGACTTTCTCCTCTGAGGTTCTAAGTTTTTAAAGACGTTTCTAAAGATGGCAGCTTTCTTACTCTGAGATGGTCTAATCAATCTTCTTTAAGGGGATAGTTCACCCAAAAACGATAAGTCATCATTTACTAACCTTCAAGTTCAAGTTGTTCCAAACCAGTATTTCCTGCTGTACACAAAGGAAGGTATTTTGAAGAATGTTGGTCACCAAACAGATATTGGGCCCCATTCTTCCTACAAACATTCTTCCAAATATATTCCTTTGTGTACAGCAGAGCAAAGACATGTATACAGGTTTGGAACAACTTGAGGGTGAGTTATGATGACATAATTTTCAATAAAGGATTAATTCAATCACCAGCAGAGGGCAGCATTATACAGGCTGTTTTGTGAAGCAGACACCGCCTACACTACCCAACTATAGTACCTACTATTTTTAGGGAGTATGAAACAGCCTGTTTTATTACACACTGTCAAATAATGAGGCAAAAGAAGTGTTAAAAATAATGGCTGCCATTACTTGAAGGTCCATCATGTTGCATTGCATGTTATTCTGTGTCCTACTACTCTGTTGCATGCTCATTTTCATCCGGGTATCCCATGCATACAGAAAATTCACTTATTGAGCATAATATAGCCTCCTACACATAGCTACTGTAACAGTATAGTATATAGCAGTAGCCTATGCTTTTGCGAACACAGGCTCTGTCTTTGATTCGCATTGTGCTGAGGGTGTCAAAGGCCCACTTAAGTGCCTTGAAACATGCAGCCTTATTTAAAGAGCACCTATCATGGATTTTTGAAAATGACTGTTCATGTAGTGTGGAATATAAGGGAATGAACACATCCTGCAAAGATTTATATCTGAAAGTGCACCGTACATAAAGTTATTGTCTTTCAAAAGTGAGAGTCGACTCTGAGTCTATGAAATGAATTGTTTTTGAAACGAGTCATTAGATGTTTCGTCGTGACGTAGATACAAAACATTAGCTCATTGGCCGCTCCCAACAACTGCCCGCGCAGACAGAACTTGAAGTCTAGAACACATTCAAATACTTCAGCTGAATCGCATCATGTCGAGAAGACGCTGTCTTGGTTCTACATTGCAAAGACAGTTCAGCCACCTGTTTTCATTGCCCAGGGACGAGCATGTGAAGAATCAGTGGTCAGAGTTCATATTTGCAACGATACCACAACAGTATAGCCCGAACCTTGTGTTCTCATCATTCATTTTAATGACGAATCATTCAAAAACATAAATGAATTCAAATGTGGATTCACAAGCCGGTTGTTCCTGAAGGAGGGCTCAGTATCCACTATCCAGTATATGGATCAGCTTCCTCCTCCGATTCACAATCTGTAAGTATTATTAATAATGTTTGCTGTTAGGTTTTCTATAGCATGCACAATATAACTGTTAGTTATTGTGTTGTGTGCGTTTTGTACACTCAGCGCAGCTTCTAAGCGGGGTAAAGTTAGTTTTGTTTTTGATATTCACCAGACATTCACTGAAAAATGGAAAATTCACATTAAAAACTTAAATTAATGATTCACATTAAATTCACATTAAAAACCTCCTAAACGACTTAGCCAAATAGGACTTCGCTCTAATAAGCACTGCCCCTCAAAAGCTCGCTCTTGACGGACACGTGAGTAAGGGACCGTGTGGAAAGTGCACTTTTTTTCTGACACGTTTGTTATACACTGTATACAACACTTGACAAGCTATAATCCTGGTTATGGGCGTTTTTGAATCTTAGTTCATTTTCATTTCAACATTTACTAATATACATCAAAAGCTTTATCAGTTAATATTTAGGACCAACTTCCCCTGACCAGTCATAAGTCATCCTCTATGGCAAGGCGTTTTAAAACGGCCATACATCCTCACCTCAGAATTCAGTATTAGCCGCTGAAATGACCTCTGTGTTCATTCATTTTACAAAGACAATTACCGCATCATTTCCTGAATACACTGAAGTGAAGTCTGCGATCTGAAGACATCTTATGTGTTATTAATAGAGGAGGTCAGTGAAGCCCAGACTCAGGACCATTACACAGACTAAGAGGAACTTAATTGTTTCCTGAGTGTCTGGATCTTGGTCTGCAAGAGAAAGGTAATTAAATCTCCTCCTCCATTATGAACATTTCATTGTTGACGGGGGTCTTAATTAAGGGGGTTAATTATGAGCTCTGACAGGGGTCGTCTCGCTCCATGACGGGAGGCCTTTGTCATCTTTATCTTGGTCAGTCTACCTTCCTCATTCAAACACAAGAAGAACAGGGTCATTTACAGTGAAAGAGTGCTTTATTTGAAGATAATAGAAGGCTTCTCATAAAAACACTCTACACAAAAGAAATTACACAGTGCAAATCCAGAAAGACATGAAAGTTGCTAAAAATACAGAAATATTAAGGAGTTAAGTTAATAAACATTTTCCATGTTCATGCATTTACATATTCTATATTATAAATATATTTATAAACTGACACAAAAAGGCTGTTATACAACCATATGAAACAACCACATGAATAGATTCGCTAAGTTATGGGAAAAAAATACATATTCAAGATAAATTACATTAAAAATAATATTTAGGCCTACTTCTTTCTTTTTCTTTTCTTTTTTACTTCTATAGATATAGTTTACACATGGACACAAAGTTTATACAGTATATATATATATATATATCATCCAAAATAAAAGTTCGTGTTTACATAATATATGTGGGTGCACTGTGGATAGTTATTTTGTATATATATAAAAACATGCACATGCATGTAAAATATTATTAAAAAAATATTATTTATTTATATATAAAATATTTATATTTATATATAATATAAATTATACATAAATCTATATACAGTATATAAATGAAAATATTTCTTAAATATACAAGCATGTGTGTGTATTTATATATATATATATATATATATATATATATAAAATAATTAGACACAGTGCACACACATATATTATGTAAACAACACAAACCTTTATTTTGAATGCGATTAATCGCTTGACAGCCGTAATATATATATATATATATATATATATATATATATATATATATATATATATATTTGTGTTTAGACTTTTTAATGGAAAACATTTCAAAATACAGTTTGAAAGTAGGATTTTCTGCAATGTTTGCAGGTGTTTTTACTTCTTTTTAGGCCATTAATATTTCCAACACAAGTAAAAAGCCAAGACAAGTGTTGCATTCTTTAAAAGCATACATCATAAATAGCATTATATGCATTTGGGTGTCAGCTCATTACTTAAATTCTTTTAACTTGATTTGGTCTGGTTAAAATTATAAACAGAATGATCCTGAAAATGAAAAACAACAATTGTAAATTACAAATTTGGCTTTGCTTCAGTCATTTTGATTTATTATTTCGTAAAATGCATTGTAAGTTTAGTTCCTTTTAACATTTATTTTGGGTACTAATATTTGTGATCTGGAATCATCTAGTCAAAGGCATATTTTATTTTACAATAACATAGTAATATATCATAACTGCCCTGAATGAGCTCTCCTCTCTCTCTTATAGCATGGCCGTGATCTTGTTTTAGGTAGGCCTATTTGTAAGGCAGCAAACTGCCACATCATAAACCATGTGGTTTATTACTCATTACTGGGTCACTGCGAGTCAATGGATGTGCTTGTAAAACACACCAATATTACACAATATCAGCTGGCTACAAACACACCATTGTACTTCCATACCTCACTTCATTTTAATAAAGCTTCCTATAGCTTTCATGGCCCTTTTAATTACGTCTATTTGTCTTCCTGTTCCCATGAGCCATGTGCAGGGATGCAGTCACCAAATGCAAGACATGGACCATAAAACTCAGTCACCAAAATATAAAAGCCATTTTTATGCAAGTGGTATATTCCCTGACGAGAAATATAATAAAAAAACAACAATTTTTTTTTCAGATCCATCAGTAAAATTTTTAATCCTTTTAATGCTGATGAAAGAAGTCTCGAATGCCAATAAAGGCTGCATTTATTTGATCAAAGACGCAGTTAAAACGGTAATTCTGTGAAATATTATTACAATTTAGAAGAACTGTTTTCTATAAAAAAAAAATTAACTGCAATTAATTTCTGTGGTGCGTGTCACTTCTCCAGTCTTCAATGTCACATGGTCCTTCAGAAATCATTCTAATATGCCGATTTGATAATCAAGAAACATTTATCAAATTTGAAAACAGTTTTTTGTGGGAAGCACAATTCATTTTTACGATTCCTTTATTGAATATAGAGACAGCATTTATTTGAATCACG